AAATACAAAGACAATATATTAAAGCAAGTTAATGAAACAAGTAAGAAAAACACTCCCAATGTAACCATGATACATGAAAAAAAAAGCATTTTTTTTATTTCTCTTCTGACTCTTGGTAAAAAGGCAAATGAGCTTGTAAAAGTATATTTTATGACAGTTTTACTTTTACTACATTTTGAACAAGAATAATATGCTTTTTTCCACCACATTTGATTGACATCTTTACTATTTACTTTGCAGGTTTAGATTATCGATATAAATGTAACTCATTATTCAATCAATAATTATAATAGAATAATATAATAGAATCTGAAATCTCTCATTCTGCAAAATTAGTACTTTTAATTATTACCTTCATACTAAGTATTTTTACAATTCTGAACGCATTACTTTATCCTGTAACAGAGTGTTTATATTTTTGTTTTGATGCTTTTACCAAAGAAGCATTTCTGAATATTTATTTTTCCACTGGCATTACCTGTTACTTGAACAAAAATCTGAAGTGTTCTTTGGGACCGTAGCTCAGCACAAGTTGAGTGGCCTCCATCCACAATCTCTAAGTGTGTACAACGGGCATGTTTGAAATGCATCAGAGCTTCCAATCCATCCGAGTTTATAGATGTCTCCATGGTGATGATTGACGACTGTAAAAGGCCGCTCTGGTGAGAGGCTCCGGGTGAACAGATGAGATCACAAATCTCATCTCTTTCTGTCTCATTCACTCTCTCACCTCTCCGTCTCGCTACTCTCAACAACACACCGGAGCAGCACACAAACAGTGCATATCCCAACAATTCTATCACTTTTCATCCCCTGTCATCTTCATGGAGCCAGTAAAAAAAGTATAGATGAAAACAAATTCAAGGTAAAAGAAAAAAAAAAACAGTCAGAGTTTGAGAGAGTCTTCAAGGTTCCTGCAAAGATTTGAATTGTCGGAGGAACTAGGAGTCTGGCCAACTTAAAATGGGCGGGCAGAGTGTACTTCCAAGATGCCACAGGCTACTTTCACTCAGTTGAAATACCCATAAAATGATCTTTTACATCAAATAATCAGTATTCTTTCCCTGAGAGCTGGACCTAGTCAGCAAATGTGGAATGATTTGGTATTTCTCAACTGTGAAATCAGATGTTAATGTGGGCTTTCATGGTAAGGTGGTCCAGGAATCTGTCCAATAACGGTTGGTTTGACTGTTCAGTGTGCAAATGTGGGGAGACACACGCATTTAGAGACATATAAACTGCCACAGGCTTGAATCAATGCCATTTTCACCATCAACTTCCAGTGATACCACCGATTTAGCATTTCTCAAACATTTCATAATGTTGGCACCTGGCTATGACCAGAAGCTATGAAGAACCTTGATTCCACCAAAGTATCATGTCCCTCTGTCATGTCATTTCATTAGTGTAATGACCCATCGATTTAGCATTTATGCCACGAATTGTATTGGGGCTGGCTGTTGGCCAAGTCAATCACAGGCAGGGCCGGCTGTGCGTCTTGGCAAAAGAAGGTGATTAAAATGACTTGGAAGAGCAAGGAGAATTTCCGATTCACCGCCCCAACAAACAGGAAACAGCCTGCTAGCTTGACTGGGTTTCCTGCATTATTACCTTGTGTCCGGGGTGGGAAAAACGGAAGCAACAGATGGATGGCTACATGGGCGGAGGCTAAAGCATTTTCACGCCAGGAGCCGCTTAATATCCGGTTAAACTCTGTGTGGGGTTTCTCTTATCGAAGTAGATTTGGATCTATTTAATTCCTTTTCATTCCCTCTCAATATTCACAGTTTGATCTTTTTGGCCAATTTTGTATTTAACAACTTAGTACCTGTCAAGCCGAACTGATTTGCATTGTTCTGTGTGTTTGCCCTTCAAACACAGTGTTTAATATCTGATGTGCAGCAGTTTGAGAGACTGATGTTGTTGCAATTAGATGTTCTATTTTTCGGGGAACATGTGACAACCAACCACTGGTTTACTTCATTTAGGAATCATCTGGGTTTTTTTCAAAGTTGGAGGGACAAATTGGTGGCTTTAGTGTCTGAAATTGTACAGTTCTGCATTGGACCTCCAGGTTGTAAAGTGATTTACTGGTACCTATAGGTGGATCATTCTGCATGCAGTAACGTAGTTGCCTGAATAATAATAAGTAATTGTCGAGCTTGTTTCTCTTCTCTCCTTTGATGTTAGAGCTACACTTTAAGTATGCCAAGCACAGTGCGACATTAAAACACTTGGAAGACCACTCATTTGTTGCTCTGACTACTATTTTTCAAAAGAAATAGCAAAAGAAAACATAATTGCTGGCTGAAATTCAACTCTCTGGTTGTGTTGTTATGAAATGCAGGTACTTAAACCAAGTAAAAGTAGAATAGCTTTGAGCATTGGAAATATCCAATAGCCGCTATGCTAACTCATGCAGTGAGGTGCCCTGTATTAGAGCTACCTTATTTTTTGTTGATTCTACCACATGAATGCCCTGCAGATGGATTTATGTTTTATTTTGGTAATATTTATGGACTGGGTCTACTGGTATGGAAAGGATGCAGCTTTTTGTTTATCATTTTCTAAAAGCAATTCAAAAACAAAAGGTTCAGATTTATCTGGCTGCTTGTGGTAATGGATGAAAAGTAGTTGCTAGAGTTGTATAAACAATTGAGGGAACGATACATTTAGAAGCAGCCAAAGACATTGTGGGATCATTGCGAGATTCACACATCTAGAAATAAATAGTCTCATCCATATCTCCCCTCCCTGCGATGGTCATTACACATATTGTGTGTTAACGAAGATGTTAATTGATATGTAAGATATTGATTCCAAGCCCTTTAAGTAACGCTTGACCTTTCCAACAACATGTTGTCTGTCACCACATCAGATGGCAAAGGCAGGTAGCCACTGACATGCCTGTTTCCGTGCGGCAACAACGCTCCTCAAAGATTGCCGTTTGTCCCCATTCATCTCACACACTGCTCCCACTTTAGCATATTGGCATTTCTGAGGTGCTTGGCGGTAATTGTCAGCCACACGGCGGCTCCTCGTTTGTTTCACTGACATTTTGCCTTTGGTTGATTGTGTATTTAACAGGGGAAGGAAAGCAAAATTAATTGGAGAGAGGCCTAATCTGTCTGCTTGAAATGTCACCCCTGTATTGTGATGCCGACACTGACACTGTGGCACACAAGAGGCAGCAACAGAAGGGAGGAATGCAGTGAAAGGGAACAGGAAAAATAAAACGGAAAAGAGGGAGATAGAAGAGTAATACATCAGTCTCTGAAATCAATAGTGCTCAAAGACTTAATTCTTGTCCCTGTGGGTTTTAACCTTAGGCTACAAAGATTAAAAAATACCAAACATTAATGTTCTGGGGTCTTTAGTGGCGTCTCTGAGCTCAGATGAATAAAACAATCTTTATCAGGCGCTGCTCTGCTGCTTCAGAACAAGGATGTGTTGTTCTACTCTGGTTGTTCTGTAATACATCATCTCTACAGCAGGTTTTCATGCAAGGCATAAGTAAGCATGTACAGGATAATCAAAGCATTATCATTCAGCAATCCGCAGTTTCTAGCCAAGCTCTATCCAATGGGTCGTTTTCAAAATGTCAACGCCGACCCCAGGGAGCCTCCAAAGAACATAGACGGCAACCCAGAAATCATTTTATTCCCACATTTCCAAACTTGCTAGCTAATCTATGACAAGATTAAACATTATAGGGTAGGCAAAGCCGCCAAAGCCAAAAACGTAAGTGAGACAAGAACATGTTTTTAATTACACCCAAAGTTTTTTTGTTTTACCTTTTTTGTTGAACCAGGAAAATGATTTATAATCAGGCTATATAAATTAAATATTTCAATGCGTTTTAACCTGGATAACATCATTATAGTTTTGCTCATTCAGATTAAAAAGTCAGGCGGGCTAGCTTTGCCATAAACCTCATTGTAGGGATTCAGGAAGCACGACTCAGGCTAGACAATGTATATTAGGGCAAGCATCACAAGCATTCAGATGTCTGCACGTCCAACAAAGGTAAACACTTTTAATCTAATTTCATTTAATCGTTTATTTGAACAGGAACAATGCACATTAATCAACACTTAAGACAAATAATGCTTCAAGTGTAAATATACCAGATTTTAGCTTTGAGCTCATTTCCATCCGTAGTCCCTGACATACAACATATAAGAACATGACATTTATAAGCATAGCAACAAATAAATACATGATATCCAAAAAGAGCAAGAGCAGCATACACAAGTATTTACCACATGGCAGTACACACACTATTCCCCTCTAATGTGTTACAGTATGTAATGATTATGTTGCACCCCAACAATGCATCTTCAAATTCAAAGGGAGATCCTGGGGAATTTCTCTTCCCCCCCTTTAAGGTCAGACAAAGATGTCTTTCCCCTGCATCTGATATGGTATGAAAGATATATGTGCTCATTCTTTAACAGGAACTCAGATCCCATAGCATGTGCTTCTAAGATCTCTGTACGGATTTGAGCAGCATATTTCTTTCAGGTTCCGAGGCACAAGAACTCTCTTCCCATCACTTACTCTAATGTGTCTCACACAATGGCATTATCCCCTGCTGTCCACCCACGGACTGTCTCTCCGGACAGCCTGTGAGACACACACACTTCTGTACAAGCCTTGACACCTTAGATCCGCTGCTGGCACTCATATGTAGGGTGAACAAATGTCTCCAGTGATTTGGGTCATTCTGGATTTGATGCAGTTTCCCCTGAATGTATATAATGAAAACAGACACATACAGTACAGAGGTAGCAATGTTATGTTTTTCTTGTAAATTACAGATTTTCTTTTTGTAATACATTCTTTGTAGCTTGCTTATTGTGCCAAGCAACTTTCTCCAAATGACCTCAGACGAGGGCGTTGACAGCAGAGAATGTCATGTCGTTGCATCATGCTCGTCAAAGGATTTTAATTAATTGCAGGTCTTTATCATTGCTGGCATTGAAATGAAACACTTTTTGTTCTTGTTGTTACTTGAAGCTTTATTCAAAGTTTTGCATTTGTTCAGATATGTCATTTTTTTCTCACCAAAACCCTCTCACTCATATTGTAAGAGAAAATGTTTTACACTGTAGCATAAACCGAATAACTTTTTTATCCATCATATTAGTTTTTATATTTTATTGCAATTTTCGTACCTAAAAATATAAATAAAGAAATCTGATTTTACTAAATATAGATCCATCATACATGATCAATCAAACATGCTCATTCATCTACTCATTCATTCCTTCATAATGACTTTCTAAGTTGTTCTAAACACAGGCAGTGATCATGTGAAATGAATACCTTGTGGATAAAGAATTAAAAAGACAACTGTTAGCAGATCATAAGAAAACCACGTGGCATCACTCGTAAAGCGTGATAGTGATGATGATCCGGGAAAAGCAGGTTATGAAGCCCAAGGTTAGGTCCTGTAATTGGAAATAAAAAGGACAAAACAATAATGAATAATAGTAAAGATTATTTCCAGTGTGGAAGAATTGAATTCATAGAAATGGATAAAAAAACAAATTAACGCTTTTATATATTCAGCTTTTAAATGTCAGGGTTATATTTTTCTGGTCGCACAGATTCATATTAATTTCAGCAGTAAATCAGCTTGTCGGACATCAGAGTATTTGTGATCGTGACATGGCAGTTATAAAAGGTTTTATGTGAGGTTGACACTTACACACGAACATGCGGATGCACATGCCACACATGGCGATGACGCTGGAGATCTGAAGGCATCTGCCGCACTCTCCACTCATCAGACAGTTCCTTGTCTTCAGGCAGCACGTGGGACACTTCCTCCCGGAGCTTTTAGTCTCCGTCTCCTCGTATTTCGGAGGCTGAGTCCGCCTCGTGTCGTTGCTCTTCTCATCCCAATCCAAGTCCTCATCTTGAAATGTTCCCATGATGTTTGTTTGGTTTTTTTTTTCAACAAAAGGCAAGTGGAGTACAATAGCGTGAGGACTGATGGATCAGAGCTGTGGAGACAATGGCAGAAATGTATTATCGTATGTGTGCCACAGCTTCACTACAGCTGAACTCTCACAGGGGATAATGTGAAGCATATTATGTGTCGTCTCCCACTCTCAGGCTTCACAAAACAGGCTTTGTTTACAATAACAACAACAACTGTCCAAAATGTCATAATGCTGTGATTTCTGTTCTGTTCGTTTGGACTTGGCAGCTCTGAGTGTAACAGTGAACGCTATGACTCAAGCTTTGTACATTGCACTTACTAGGCGGTGTATTGTTTTTCACCTCCATCTTACTTTGTTTTTAGGAATCTAGGCAAGTACGCAGGTAACATTCCTGAATTCAACACCTCCTTAAAATGTAGAGGACATAGTATAATCGAACATACAACAACACACACTCTAACTCTACTAGACTGCACCCTACTGAATCTGTGTATCTCTACGTACAATGATCTTCATATACATAAAGATACACAGATTATCAGGTTTGATCTAGCCATAATGATTGTTTCAAATGATTTCTTTCAAATCTTGAATCTTTTACAATATATACATAATGAAAAGTCCTTTTTAGCAATAAAGAGCAGAACAAATGAAAAGCACAACTGTTCCCTTTCATTAGAGTAGAATCCTCTCCCAAAAGAGTGAATCATTAACACTGCAGCCTAAACTTAAGTCCCTATGAACACTTTATTGAGTGAAGTCACATTGATTTGACAGATTAACAATTCTTCCGCGCTGATGATCATTTCTCGGGCCAGGAGTTGAGGCCCCCTGTTTTAACTGTCGGATACAATTGCTCCCCACAGACATTATCAGATATTAAGTGATAACCCTGATGGTGAAATAACGTCTTATCTGTGCCATCCGATGGCTCCCCATTTATTACCACTGACAGCAAATTAGATTGCTGGCATCTGGAGGGTATACCGGCGTTTTGAGTGCACCTTTCCATCTCATTCTGCTTTCAAAACTCCATTGGTTTTCAATCATAAGTAATGAAATTCCATCAGCCTCCTCGGCCATGAAAGCGACTTGGAAAGGAAGTGAGAGACGGCCATTAAGAGTAGAGAAAACGAGCCTTACCCTTTGCTTTCAGAGTCGCCTCTCTGTCGGGTCGAATCTTTTCTTTTTTGTAGAGCAGACTTTTGTTAGAGCAGAGCACTGAACACCTTAACCCTAACAGAGACTCACAGGCTGTGTATGGTGAACAGGGTGTCAGCCTCAGATTACATGAGCAGGACAGGTGTGTTTTCAGGTATAACTGGTTCTACTGCCCTGCCCAGAAGGATTGTAATTACAGAAACAAGCCATGTCCTTTTTAAAGGTGTGACTAAGAGGCCCCACCTACATACATTAAATATGTTTAAAATTCCAGATTCTCCCATTATTTTTAAAAGGTTTACTTTTAGTATTTACATTATCATTATATCTTAAAGGGGCCCTCTAATGCTAATTTGTGTTTTGTGCCTCTACTGTGACATGTTTACATGCTTTAATGTTCGAAAAGGTCTGGCTTTTTATCATACTGCCTGTGCTGCAGAACCTCTTTTCACCCTCTGTCTGAAACCAGAGCCCAGTCTGCTCTGATTTGTTGGCTTGCCGTTTCTGTTGTGATTGGTCAACTGCTAAGAGATGTCCCGTCTCTTAGCCTATCATATACAATGTGTTGAAGCGTTAGCCAAAGGAAGTGCAAGTTTTACATTGTGATGTCACGTATGTTATGGAAGTAAACAAACGAGTACATGTTAGGCGTTTCAGCTAGGGGGGAGGGGGCGGATGTGCTAATTATTATTTAAATTATGATCGTTTCATAAACACTTAAAATATACAGTTTTCATTTTTAAATCAAAATATTTAAATCTGTGTATGAATATTTTTTACATTTGTGTGGTTAAAAGTATTATGTTGATTTACATAAAGATGGATACACAGACAGAACTGGTTTGTGAAGTAAAATGTCAACATTTAATTTGCATAGCTTACATTAATGAATCTCCACACACGGTATCAGTGTATTTGATTTAGCCAACAACTATTTATTCTCAAATGCGTGACAGGCTATTTTAATAAGTATGTTCCTTCAGTCTTGCTCAGGAAATGCAATCAAGCTTTAATAAATAATTACACAGGATAATTAATTGATTAGACGGCACATTTCATTTCATGATGAACAAGGATAAATCTAGGAAAAAAGCAATTTATGGAAGCAATTAAAGCACACACAATTGGAATGTATTCAAAGTATTGCATTCCATTTCGAAACAGAATTACTTACTGAACAGTTTATCATCTATGAATGAAGCCACATCAAATGCACTAATTCATTAATTTTGTCTTAACAATGCATCAGATTTGGTGAATAGGAAGGTGTGTGTGTGTGTGTGTGTGTGTGTGTGTGTGTGTGTGTGTGTGTGTGTGTGTGTGTGTGTGTGTGTGTGTGTGTGTGTGTGTGTGTGTGTGTGTGTATGTTACTGGCAACAATAATAAAGATCTGAAGTGTTCTCTCTCATTGTGCATTATGTTATGATGGAAAAATCAGGCACAAGAGGGGCTTCCTCTGTCCAAGGACATACATTTGTTGCACTTAATTGCAAAAAGTACTAGTACAAATATACTAAATGGCTACCTTCCATTCTGCTTTGACTGTCATTGAGATAAGTGGTACTGTAGCAGAAATAGTCTTGAGTAAAATGTAGTAATTATTTATTAAAGAAAGGGAAAATGGACATCAATCAATAAGCACTTGAGACTATCGTTTAACTGTGCCAGATCTAGCGATAACACATACACTACATTACATTACATCGCATTTCGCTGACGCTTTTATCCAAAGCGACTTACAATAAGTGCGTTCGACCGACAAGATACAAACTTAAATACATCAGGTTTCAAAGAGCTAAAACATTTCAAGTGCTACTCAACTGGCTTTAGATAAGCCAGTCCTTTATTAGTATATAAATGATTTGTTAGTAATTATATCGCTCGAAGCGGAGTCGAAAGAGATGAGTTTTCAGTCTGCGCCGGAAGATGTGTAAGCTTTCTGCTGTCCTGATTTCAATGGGGAGCTCATTCCACCATTTTGGAGCCAGGATAGCAAACCCACGTGTTTTTGCTGATGGGAACTTGGGTCCCCCTCGCAGTGCGGGTGCAGCAAGCCGTTTGGCTGATGCAGAGCGGAGTGCACGTGCTGGGGTGTATGGTTTAACCATGTCCTGGATCCATTTGCAGCATGGTACGCAAGTACCAGTGTCTTGAAGTGGATTCTAGCAGTTGCCGGAAGCCAGTGAAGGGAGCGGAGGAGCGGCGTGGTGTGGGAGAATATAGGAAGGTTGAAGACCAGACGAGCCTCTGCATTCTGGATGAGCTGCAGAGGCCGGATGGCACATGCAGGTAGACCAGCCAGGAGGGAGTTGCAGTAGTCTAGGCGTGAGATGACGAGAGCCTGGACCAGAAGCTGCGTCGCTTTCTGGGTCAGGAGGGGACGTATCCTCCTGATGTTGTACCGAGTGNGTAAATGAGTAATATCTTTAAAAGCGACAAGTCCCTTTCTATCAGCTGTGCACCGTTATGGTGTAAATACAGCCTATCTAACTTTTATATTTGATCCTGGTAGATAGGCTGTATTTACACCATAACGGTGCACAGCTGATAGAAAGGGACTTGTCGCTTTTAAAGATATTACTCATTTACTGAACTACCTTTCCAACTCCTCATGAAGTTGACTGTTACAGGTCAATACAGGTTCATGGTACAATTCATAAGCAAATGTGTGTATTGTATTTTATAGTTTTTCATAATATCATTTTGTTCATTGGTTTGTTAAACTATATATTACTTCAATTGAAAAACTGTGTTCTTTTTTTTCATGCACAAAGATGAAACAATCCTTAGTTTGTTGTAATCCATGCATGCAGGAGTTAATAAATCACACACTGATGGAACATCACTATATTGTAATTATCTTTATAGGCTTTTTCTATCAAAGATGTTCGGGGTCGGTCAGAGGGTACTCGGCTGAGAAAATGTTTCAAAGGGGGTACATTACTGAAAAGGTTTGAGAAGCACTGCTCTAGTCAATCGATACCTCATTATTTATGGATGATCATAAATAACCCAGCCAGTACAAAGGGACAAATTAAAGTTATTTTTTGTGGCAATAGTGCTTATAACAGATATGGTTCTTTCCGGCTCTATACCTTGATTGTCTGTGTGTTACAAGGAGTGTTTTCAGGAAGTGAGACATGTCATGAAGCGCCAGACATGCAGTATTATTAGCTGGGAGCCCGGCTCACACCCCGAGCCACCGCGCTGTGTGATTACGATTGCCCCTGCAGTTCAAAACAGATGCTCTTCACCGGCACTGGCATCATGGAAGAGCCCGAGGCAGGCAGCTATTTTGGGTAAATTAGTAAAGACAACAGTTGCTCCCCAGGTTGATACTGCCATGCTGGGTTGCGGTGTGAGGCGACAGAGTGGAAAACACAGACTCAACCTGGGCAGCGCAGCCCCGCGGGCGTTTGTCATTTGGAGGCGCTCCAAGCGACAGGTGGCTGCTGTGGTCCACTGCTCCCCCTGCACCTCGTCCAGGTAATTAGCCATTCAGCTCGGGCACGCAGGAGAGGAGGGCCATCATTGACAGAGACAGGTTTAATGAAGACAAGCTAGCAGTGGAGACGTTGTTTTTGTAAATTTCTTATCTTCATATTCCTAAAAATGTCACTACCTGCTCAACGAGAAGAGAAGGCCTCTGTTTTTACCTCCGATAGCTATAATATTTACTCGTGGAAAAATAGGTGTAATAAACCGCTTGAAAGAGAGAGCATTGCTAGGAAATACTCAATTCTTCATAATCATTACTTTATGGAAAGCAAGCATTTATGTTTTTCACTTATTTTGGAACATAACTCCTTATATCATGTTTAAGTTGTTTTATGTATTTTTATTGTCTTTGGTTGTTATCTTAATTTATTTTGTATTTCTATTTGTATTACATACACTATCTTGTCTTTTCATTTTGCTCTAACTCTATCATTTACAATGTTGTTGTTTGTCTCAGTGGGCTTTACGGCCCGTCTACAGCAGCGTTAAAAAAATCTTCCAACGCTTCTCTGCCCATTGACTTTAAATGGGGTGACGTCACTTTGCCTCGCTTTTCGCCGAACTGCATTGTGGGGAAGCGAAGCGAAGATTTCCAGGATTTCCAGGATTTCCAGGATTCAAAAGTTGAGCAATGTTCAACTTTTGAAGCTGAGGTGGAAGTGTCAGCCAATCAAAACCCGTTTATGCAAAAATCAGTCATTATCTGTGTTTACTCTCAGTTCCTCCATTGTAGTAAATAAGACCTCTTACTAGTAGTGCTACAATTGATGACTTTGTCAGTACGCATGTTATGCATCAACATTAGTTCTCTAGCCTTCTGTGGCTCCAGAGAGAGCTACGCAAGTGGACTACAAGATAATAGAAGAGTTTGAAAGAAGTGAGCTCGCCGTACTTCTGTAGCTCGCTCTTCCTCTCTGCTTGAGGCAAGTGTCTCGAGGCTACATTGGCAGCAACACCTGAATCTCAGGTGTGTCTGCGGAAGAGTGTCCATGTTGGTAATGTAGGCGCCGGGTTTTGACCGGTTTTGACAAGGAAGGAAGAATGCAAGGAATAGAAAAAGACTATCTCTGGTCCAGATACATACATTTTAAGTTATTCTGTCCATCATAATATGCTGCAGGAGTGCAATGGTAAATGAGTGGCGTTCTATGCATAAACGCTGTCATGATCTAAATTGCCTCAGGTCCTCACAGCAGGGAAGGCTGAACAGTCAAAGGTGCTGTGATTGCTCTTTGACTTCGGAAAAGAGTTTATCAGGTTTTCAGGGAAGCCAAATCAGTGCACATTTGAACCAATCCCTAGACTTTCTTGAAATGTTGTTTTTTTCGTGATAGAGTGGTCTTGTCTGTCTCTGTTAGTTCTCTCTTGTTGCAGTCTAAAAACGGTATACGTACCGTGTTTATCATATTAAATCTGCTCATGGGATACTGTCTGCACTATTTTTCTTTTAAATTATCTTTAAATGCTCTTTTGCAAAATAAAAAAGCAGTGAGATAAAATACATAAGCCTACAAGTGAGTATGTGTCTGTACTTTGAAGAACGGAAAAGTTCAGCCAGTTGATGAGAATATTTCTCAAAGAGAGAACAGTCACATCCAGTTCATTAAAGGCCTGATTACCTATTTTATGCAATAGTGCTCGTATTCAGAATGATATACACTACTAATTATATTTAATTGCTCGGTCGAACCCCAGTAACCCCTCCAGAAAGAACAAAGCATTGACCTCCGACAAGCAAAGGTTCGGTAGTGGTAATGAGACGCATTATTCTAGAGCATTATTCTAATAATGACTTTTTCTATGCCCTTTTAGCTGTCTGAAGTTTAGTGAATGGGTACGCAGCCTGTGGTTGACGGAAATGACCACTCTACTGTTTCAGAGTCTGAAGTTCTGTGAATGGTCTACTGGAGAGTTGTGGTTGAGTCAGTCAGCGTTGATGGGCGGTAAATGGGGAAAGCGAACTATGTAAATGGGGGCCTGGGTGGTGCTGCTCTGTTGGGAAATCAGGTGGCCATTTGAATATTCAACCCCAGGGCCAGCGCTCTAATTCCTTCCCCCTCAACATGCCACACAAGGAGAAAGGAAGTGACAAAATGGCAAGGGGAGCACAGGCAAGAATTTGCATTTTAATGTGCCTGTCGGAATCACTTTGGATAAGAGCTGGTAGTATGAGGGACCACACAACCCCAAGGCTCGGCACCAAACAACCTATAATAGCCGCCGCCCTGAAAACAACATCTTCCGTGAGAAGAAGTTGTTGCGGAATAGGGAAGAGAGGGGAATCGATGTTGTTAGGAGAACAGAATAAGTTTAGATCCTCAAGGCAGATAAAAAGGCCCAGGTGGCCAAGGTGGAACAAGTAGAGATAGGAATAGTGGATAGTTCACACGTATAAACTTTTTGAATCGGCTACAACCGAAACATTACAAGTACAACCTTGAAATAACTTTCCCTATAAGCTTTAATGGTAAACTGCCATTAATTGCAATGACAGTTTAATTATAAAGATTGTTTTCCTGAAGGATAATTGCATTTTTCATGTCTGGAAAAACAACCAACTCCCCAAGCAATAACTGTTTAGACGCGATGTTTTTAAGGAACCAAACCATACAAGATCATTATTCTTTTTCCTTTGTCATACATTATGTAAATATTTCCTTCCTTCTCCTCTTTCAACAACAAAGAAGAAGCATTGTTTGGTTTTGTCATCTCTACAACTCCTAAGAGATGAAGATGGCCATTTGAAAACAGATGCCTGGGAGTTCATTTTCACACGGAGGCACTCTGTTATTGCTGTTTAATGTCCTCAATCTCATTGTCATTTGGCAGAAGGTGAGTATCGAACGGCTTGATTTAATCAGTTCAATTTGATCCTTTGCCGTTGCAGAGAGTATCTTTCCACCTATCGATGAGTGTGTGTCGTGCCCTGGCAGACGCAAGGACACTGAGTGAGTGGCACTCAGACACTTCCCCTGTCAGGGACGGTCAGAGAGCAGACAGCAAGGCTGCTATTGGATGCTATTGAGAAGCCAGAGTCATTCTAGAGGGAGACATTGTCGAGGCTTCACTTCATTGTTGGAGCCATTTTCTGCTTTCAAGGTGCTCTGTACAGCACAGCTTAATGAGACTGCAGTCTCCTTGGTATACTAAGTAGCTGCCTCTAACTTTTTCAGGCTTTCAACAGCTTGACAGCTTATATATCAATGTATGTGGAGGTTTTATACATTTTAAAGCATCACTCTGGTGAACTTGAAAAGAAAAGTAAGGAGGTTGAATCTATGAAGATCTAGATTTGTGCTCTTTAACTAAAAGATAAACACATTGATGGTATTGATATACAAATCCATTCCACTGCCCATAACCTTACTTCAAACCAATTCACATAGATACAAATGTGAAACACACTCCACACTGCCAGGCTGTTTATTGTTTTTTTTGTATTGATTTCTCCATTTCTCGTGTTTCCTAACTGTTCATTGTTGTTTAATTGTGCCGGGAAACTTGTTTTTAACTGTGCATAATACAATAGACGCTTTGGCTTGGTATAAAAGAGTGACACGGCACCAGAGGGAAGAACATTTTCAACAAGAGCCAGCCAGCCCAACCGTTAAAATATTGTCTGTGGCGGAACAAATTAGAATATGGCAAGCTGCCACTGACTGGGTGATTTCTTTTTAAATGAACAAAAGCAGTGTTTCAATGCCCTGTCTTGGCTAATGTGTCAAGTTTTGTAAAAGTGGTTGGATGCAGTAAGAAGTTACCTCTATTGTACCTGCATCTACACTTAGTGATTTCACAGTGACAAACTTGTTTACATCACAGCAGCAAGAAGAAAGATGACCCTCTAGAGCAGGGGTGGGCAAACTTTTTGGCTCGGGGGCCACTATGAGTTTAAAAATTTGACAGATGGGCCGGGCCAGTAGCAGATCGGTGAACAAATATTTAGCTGTCCACTCCTCATTAAACACTCAATGTCGACTTTTCTTTTGGTCAACTCATTGTTACAGATGCAGGTTCAAAGGTGAATTAGGTTCAAAGGTGAATTATTGCGTCATCGTTTGCGTCATGACGTAACCGTTACGTGTCTTCTTATGACCCACACAGCGTTTTACGTCGCTGATTTTCTCTGCAACACCGCTCACAACAACATCAATAGAGGACTGCGTCTGGTAGTTTTTAATCATACGAAGCCAGATTAAATTAAATAACTACTTCTGCAACCTTATACCTTTCTCCAGAGTGCCGTGGTGCATTGTTTATTAATGGGGTTCAGCGGCATTACTGCTGCTCGTTCACCGGAGTTTATTCTACTGTTAACTCGTGGCAGCGGCCGCTGTAAAGTCAAATCCGAATGTCCGAATGTCACACAAGCAGCTGATAAATATCCCCCATCAGTGAATGTGTTTCAGTCTGAACGCTGTTTGGCATCACAACGCTGTTATGAAAGTTTCTCTGGCATTCTACAGGTGATGTTAGCAACCAAAGCTAATCTGACTATCTTGACTACTGCTATCATATTGTGGCATAAGCCGTTTTCTACACGCATATTTTACGTAGTTTTCGTTATGATTTTACTTGTGATGGCCACATGTAGCCCATGTATTGATTCCATCTGATAGCTGCAATAATACAAAACAACAGGAAAACGTCTGCCCGCTCTCCACAATGATCAATACAGCGAACGGATGGTAAAGGCAGACCCGGCGTCATGGGCGGGCCCCATGGGGCCGGGCCTTCCCATCCAGGATTTGGGCCCGCTATTTTAATCAGAGCTGAATTAATACAACATTTTAATTGTTTTATTATTATGTTTATTGTTGTTATTTGTAGGGCTTTGTCCTAATATTTATTTTAGTTTTAAACTATGTTGAAAGATTTGTTTAATATCATTTTTTTATGAAATTCTGAATGAAATGGCTGCTCGCGAGACAGGTTTTTCGCTGGGTTGAGTCGTGTGGGTTTTTGAGTGAGATGCGGCACAGCAGCCTGACAGTTTACTCTTGCTAGGTTAGTTTGGCTATTATCATTTATATTTATCTGCAACAATGGATATCAGGAAGTGGTTCACGAAAGGAATATGGCAACTCAGCGCCAGATGCAGGCACATTAGAAAAAATCAGTTACGTTACCAACGAGCTAGCAAGCCAGCCAGGGACAAGGGAGGCTGGCAATCAATTATATTTTGAAGAGAAATGTACTCTCAAGCCGGCTCTCTCACAAACTGCACAGTGCACACGCTCTCTGCCTCGCTCAATCTCTCTCTCTCCCTTTCTCTCCATCGCTCAACCTCACTCCACCTCTCCACCCTGTGTGCGCTCCTCAAGTTTGCCTGCGTGCTTGCCCATGTTGGCACAGCGTTACAAATGTGCCACAAAACCAACCAATGGATGTAGCCTATAATAAGACCGTCAACAGCCTTATGGCAACCTAAAACCCCTCTGTTTACGTAACAACAATTCACGAGCGGCTCCCTCTTCACTCTGTCTACCCATAAGCCCCCCCCCTCTCAATCAACTTCCTTTTGACTGCCTTTTTATTTTACTATACTTACTTGTTTGCCTGTCAGTGATTTTA